TTAAAGGTAGACGGCTTCTCTACTTAATTGACACTAATGGAACATTTTTAAATGAAACATTATTTGATAATACAATAGGAATGGTAAAATCATGGAATAAGCATTAGTGTATTATTTATAGATTATATTAATAGATGACTATTTGTAAAATAGTATGAATAAAATATATATTTAGAAAAACAAGGAAGTTTAATTAAATTTATGAAATTGTATAATTATAAAGGCAAGAGAAGGATTCTTCATCATTTTAGTTATTATATATTATGAACAGTGTATTTATAATTGATGTTTTATTATTTTTAGATTTATCTGTATAAAATAAATAATTTAGCATTTTATACAAAATACAATTGTACATGTTATGTTTTTATATCATATGTTAATAACAAGGATATACACGATAGATATTTTCTTCATCTTCAATTAATTTGTGTGTAAGTTTCTTATGTTATTATGCTTGTTTGGTGATTGTATGAATAAAAAACATAAATATGCTGAATGTATTTACGTTTTGCATTAAATTAGTTTTTAATATCTTTGACGGTCATAATATTTATTTGAGTATTTACTCAAACGATCACTGTACCCATCATCTTGATACTTATCCTCGGTCTTGTAGTACACTTCAGGTGCTGAACCTACATGACCCTGCCAGTACTTTGTCCAACAAAGGTCTTCTGGATTGATGTCATGGGGATGCTTAGCATTTCTAAATACATGTACACAGTATATTAAGCTACCTATCAAAGTTAAAAATCCAAATATAAGGAAGACTATTCCCAAAATCCTGAAATCATAGTAATATAATAAATTAATAGATACATTTGTATTAGTAAATGTAAAACTCAATAGTTTTTGTTAGTGATATACCCACCAAACTATCAATGGTTGAAAGAATTGAATGACTATAACAAAACCTAATGCGATAAGAATTAATCCAAGATTGAGGAGTAGCATAAGACAACAAACACCCTTTGTATTTGGACAAAACGGATTAGGCGTTGACATAGTTTCTATAATAATACCATCCTTTCTGGAAGTGTGAGATTTTACTGATTTTGCAGAACCATAACTGCAATGACTAGGTGCACGATGACCCATTCTTAAACTTGGAGACAGACTGTGATGCGATACATGGCTGTTGATTGAACGACAACCACATTTATAACATATTTATGGGTAAATATTTTGTACGTTTGTATGTATACGACCTTATATCTGATGTTGTTCTATAAGCAGCACTCGTAACATATATATCTGAGCCATTGTCACATATACTACCATGTGAAGCACTTTTTCTTAGCGGATGCAAACCTTGCCTGGATGATCCAGATAATACTGAAACGCGACTGTTGTGTGCACTTCGTGATCGCCTTCCTTCATCTTTTTCATATTTCTCAGGACGGTCTTTTTTCATTGCTTTTACCTACAAATGTCAATATGTATATGTAACATATAAATTTCTCATGTACGCACTGTTATTATTTATGGATTAGTTATACCATTCAACTGTAGATAAATAAAATGTATTTGATAATTACCATTGTAGCATGATCAGCTGACACAATGTATTCAGATACTGTTCGATCTGATGGAGCACGATGGCTTTCATCGCCATCCGTTAAATAATCACGATTTGTAGTAGCATGGTATCCAACATATCTTGAAGTATGAGTCATTGTGTATGAATATATGAACTTGTTGTACTTATAAAAATGTCAAGGATGATGAACAACTTGAATTATGTATGTTAACGATATGTACTTTAACTAAAAGAGAAATTAAGCAAAAGTTATAAAATAAACTTACTGAAACTTCTTATTTGTAATCAGAAAACTTACATAATAAATATTGAGTGGTATAAAATAACATTTCTATTGACAAATGATCTTCATTTTATATCAAAATATTATTTATTGTGATTATATCTGTAAACAAATTAACAATCAATTATTCTAGAATTTTCAACCAGTAAAAAGATAGCAATTAATTTTCATATATAAAAAATGTATAGGATAAACAAGTGATTCGGATTTTTAAAGTGATGTGTGGGTAACAAGGTAGGAGTGGCAGCCTTTGCAAATGAATTGTAAAATACATAATTATCATAAAATCTTTCTGTCGTATTGTGTATGTTGCAATTTGCAATACGTTTGCGCCGGTAGAGAAAGCCTAATATAGTATCGTGATGTCATTTGACAAGGTCGCATGCATCTTCGATCAATGACAAAATTATCGAGAACGCAGTTGTCCCCTTTAATGTTAACAATTTACAGGTTCTACATCCTTATTTCAATTATTTTAGTTCCATCTATCTCTATCTTTAGTACAAATATCTTACATTTGGCAATTTTACTTTCGTTCACGATCAGAATTTCATTTACATATGTATTTAATTTAACATATAATTGGAAATGAAAAAGTCAAAATGAAATAAAACTATTATTTTATTTCACATTTGTATCGCAAATACTTTTCACGTTTTGACGTTACGTATGCATTTGTCATTTCGAATTCCAGAAGGATACGAAATTTCCAAATACATACATACTCAAAAGGATAAGATCGAACAATTTGCCTGCGCAAGCGCCATAAATCCTGTCAACACAGCATTGAACGCATATTGCCTTTCAATTCGCACCGAATTCGCCATAAATATAATTATACATTTTATATTATACATATATGTAAAAATTTAATTACCTCTTCATGCCATATCTTTAAACTATTAATATTTATATAATCTTGAATATATTGAAAAGATTTACGATAACCATCCATAATTGCGGCTAAATTATTAAGTTTCTGTAATATCGGTATCTAAAACGATACATAAAAAATATCTAATTATTAATATTCGAGTAAAAAAAATTGTAAACATTATTTAGAACTTACTTTTGATTTTGATTCGAAAACAAGACCATTATCCAAGGCTACTGTTACTTTCTTTACCAATTCTTGTCGTATACCATCTTCTAATAAGCGATGGGAATCAACTCTCAACACTCCCAAGGGAACACTTCTCAAGGATAATACACCTTTCGTAAATACTGACACAGCATACGTCAACTTAGCCATCTAGAACAGAGTTAGATCTTTACACTAAATATATTATTATGAAATCATTTGTTATGAAATCATTATTTATCATCATTATTTGAAGCATAAAAAAATATTAGAAATTGAAGAATACTTTTAATCTATCATCTAATTGTGCATATTCTTTTAATTTATCTTTCGGTAATCTAGTAGGAATTTCCTTGAAAGCATTTGTCTCAAGATGTACGATCTCAGCGAGTAAACCAAATACAGTTTCTGGTATTATTTGTAAGACACGTCTTGCATATTTTTCTAATTCTCTACTATAGTATTGAGATACTGATGATAGATCTGCACTACGTGCTTGATTCACTCTCAATAACGGTGTTTCCAACGCCGAAGCCATCTGAAATGGAATAAGATATAAATATTTCCATAACAAAATATATACAGTTTACTAAATAATGTCAAGTACAAAAAAATAGGAATTTACTTTTAAAAACAATGCTTTTAATTTAATTACAGTAGGAGGACATTCTTTTATGCTAGCTTGCATCGTTTCAATAAAAGATTCCATTATATTCCATGCATAGCAACAATCTGTCACTATATTTAAACTGATCATAGTGTCTTCTGTGATACTTCCTGTACGTAACATATTGTGCAATATCTCCCGTGTATCAGCTAAATACTGAGATATATGTAAATTATTTTCCAACTGATGGAATTCTAAAATCATTTCAATTCAAATAATAATTTGTTAT